AACCAACAACCATCGAGGCCTTCTGTACAGATATGGCTAGATGGCAAGGACCCCAAAAGGCTAACCCAAGTGGGTCAAAGGAGAAAGAAATAAGTTCATTTCTAGCAGCGAGTCATCAAATGATCTCTGAGAGAGCCAGAAACTCACTTCAAGGGAAATGAAACAGGCTGACACTGAAACAACTCAATTTCAAAAATACAACACGCAGGAAGGATAACGCACAAGGACAGGCTTTATCCTTTACAGAGCTCATCCATTATGAAATGTTGTTTTACTCAACCCCGATGTCAACGCAATGTCAAGAAAAAAAGACACCCTCAGGTTACATGAGCTGCTACTTCTGAAAAATTGAGACTAGAGAAGACCATGGAAAAGCTACAGAAATCACTGCTATTTCAGGCAGTCACCATTATGCCTTTGAAAAGCCTTTTGGCTGCTTTTGATTCCATTATCAGTTCCTCAGAATTTAATCTCTATGTATTTACATCCATTTACTATGATGTCTTACTCTTAATACGTTCACCAGGAGTATTAATGCATACTTCTAATTTCTGGACAGCTCTATTAATGTAAAGGGATTCTGTCTCTGATTACAAGTAATAGCAGTACACGTGAAACTTCTCCTATCATAGGATCTCAGAGGACCGTACAAGGACAAATTAATTAGACTTTGCATCTTCCCTGAAGAAAGAAACATTATTATCCTCTCATAAGAGGTCCTGGACTGTCCACCACTCTGCAACTTAATCATGATGCTCTGCTGAAAACCTAACTGGTAAAACAGGAATCCTACAGTTTATGAACACCATGAAGCCTCTGAAATTTTATTACTTCTGATGTTCAGTCTCTGATTATAGGCTGTTATTTATAATAACCCAAGTGACTACAAAATTCTTTTCAGGTTGAGAGAAAAAGCAAAATTGAAATGTTTCACAGCCAGTGCATCAGAAATATTGAAGGATGGAGGAAAATGAAGATGACAGGGAAAGAAACTCTTATCCAACAGAAAGATGGACCAACAAGAAAGATGACCATATAGTCTGTCTACAGCAAGTTTCACTAAGTTCATAAATAATACCATAACCAGCTGTAGACTAGCAACTATCAAATGAACCTTTATGGCTGGGCAAAATATATGGTACAGGGCTGAGCATGGAATCCTCAAGAAAAGCATTGCCAGCAGGTGGAGGAAGCTGGTCCTTCTGCTCTACTCAGCACTGGTGAGGCCCCATCTGGAGCACAGGCTCCAGTTCTGGGCTCCACAGTATGAGAAAGATATGGACTCACTGGAGTGAGTGCAGCACAGGCCTGGTTTAATCGACTGGAGCATCTGCCATATGAGGAGATGCTGAGAGAGCTGGTACTGTTCAATCTGGAGGAGAGAAAGCTCAGGGGGATCTTACCAATGTGTATAAATACCTGATAGGTGGGAACGAAGATGAGGGAGACAGAGTCTCCTCACTAGTGCCCACCGACAGAACAAGAAGCAACAGGCAAAAATTCCAAAATAGGAAATTGAATCTGAACAAAAGAAAATATTTTTTTACTGTGAGGGTGGTCAAACACTGGAACATGTTGCACGGAGAGACTGTGGAGTCCCCATCCTTGGGGATATTAAAAATCTGACTGGACATGGTGCTGGGCAACCTGCTCTAGGTGACACTGCTTGAGCAGGGAGTTGGACCAGATGATCTCAAGATTACAACTAAATAATTGTGTGATTGTGTGTGCTATGTGCCAAAGGACCAGCGAAGAGGCAAGACAATTCAATGTCTATTTGGAATGACCTGGGTTTCAGCCTTTTAGATCATTCTTGGGCGTGAAGGAAAGCCATCAAACAAGTCCCTACTGCTCCTGTATGAGGCCTGTGTGTTCTCCACAGCTGATGGCCTTTGGAAGTCCATCACTCACTTCTCCTTACCAAGTACAGGGGTATTTGTGGTAGTGAAACCTGATTAGGATTTTTCCACTTCCCCCCGACACTCCTGCCTACCTCCTTCACAGCCACAAAGGCGTTTCTACAAACTAACATAACACCCCTCCCATGCAAAAAACCAAAACACTACCCCCCCCCTCCAAAAATACTTGATAAAAACCCACAACAGAACAACCACAACATTTTGAAAAAAAGGATCACTTCAGTGATCTGGATATCAGATCTCTCTCTACATCACTTTTTCCAGCAGAAAATGGAAGGCAAAGAAGGTGCAGCACACGAGTAGAAATGCACTGACCAACCTCCATCATGGCATGAACAAGAAAGGTGAAACCACATACTCTCAATGTGATGGGCACTGGCAACAGCCTGTTCTCCTGCCATGCAAAACAAAGAGGGAACCATTGTGACCTCACACTCTTGTGGGATCTCAAAATTTCTTCAGGTTTACTCAGGGCAAGATTCCTCAGTGAGGTGCAGTCAGGGCCAAATTCTACGCTCCTGATCCTGTTGAATACCGACACTGGTGTAAAGCAAGACTTGCATGAGAGCCTGCCACACCATACAGGTGAAGGGTCAGCAAAGTGACTTGCAGTGCCTAATGAACATTTAGGCACAAAATTCTATTTCCAAAATAACTGCCTATTTTAGGGTGAGAAATGGAGATTGCTTTTATGACAACAGTCTAGCCAGGTTTTCTTCCAACAAAAGCATTTTTACTAGTAGGAACTATTACATGGATTCAAATTGTCTATCAAAATGTAACCGCTAATTAAGAACAAAAATGACTGTGAAATTGCAATATAGGTTCCATTTAATTTTACTGGGAATTCCAGGCCTTTATGGTCAGGAAAGTAACACCTCTCATCAGCTCAGCAGACATCAGAATGAGTCACTTCTCATCCTTCGGTTTTTCCAATTAATGATGTGGACTGTTTTCATATGTTTGCCAATGATTAACCATAATTGAATGCTTTGTGGGTTTATTTGCTTATACTACCATAGAATTTAGCAAATACATCATACAGAGGAGCTCCTCCCCACCCCCCACCATTGTTTGATGTTTTTTATGCAAAAGTACAGTTTAATATTTGCTGTGAAAGGCTTCAATAATAAATAAGAATCTCAAGTGAATCTGTGCCTATACTCAGGACCAAGAAATGTCACTGGACTTCTCCTTTGTTCAGGGTATGCTGGCAGTTACAACGAGCAGCATTTAAGTCTGCTGTGCCATCAAAATGTAGAATGAAAAACAATGACATCCGGGATTTTTTTCTTCTAATACAAACTTAATTATTAATCAAAGCTATGACACACACTAAACATTGGCAAATGGCTTGAGAGCATCAGGAATGTATTTTTCTCAGTGGAGTCTTTAAAAGTCTTTTAATAACAGGATTAATTTACATCTGTATAGCCCCCTAGTTAGATTTTTGACCTAATACAGTTCATAACATTCATGCGTAAGGCAGTTTTTTGGGGGATGAGGGGAAGGGCAAAAATAACCAGTGAACAAGAGTTTGAAAAATTTATCCTGCTTTCATTATAATTCCAGATCTTTAAGCTCCTGCTCTCAGAGTTCTACAGATTTTTAACAAAGACTGCATAATTGTCCAATACTTGGGATAAGAAACTGTTTTATTTAAAACCAAATAAACTACCAAGCAAACAACAGATTCATCTATTAATCATAAATTCTTCTACTGAGGCTAATTATTGGCACCAATCTCTATGCTAGTTCCTGCAATATAGGCAAATAGTGAAAGTTTATTTTATAGGCACTGAGCAGTTTTTATTTAAAAAAAAACAATCTACAGGTCTGTAGCAATGTGGTAGCTATTTTTCTCATTCCTTTTGAAATATAGCACAGCGATTGCATGTACCAGATGGTAACATTTTATGCATATCGATCTGGACTACCTCTGAAATAGCAACTGAATGTTAATGAGGCGTGGCTGAATTGCTGAACTGCTTCTGTGTGTGTCCCCATGTTTTAAACATGGTTTCTTATTTTGTGACCGATGGTCTTGCTAAGACCAGGATATCACAGTGTGCACTTCTCTATTTAGATAACATGAGATGAATTTCACTGATAGAGGAAATCAGATCTACATCAGATAACCATGGCTTAGAGCAAAGCCTAATCTATAACTCTTCCCAAACCTTCAACAATTAGATTTTATTTTTTCAACTAACTTGCAGTTTCAACAGCTACAAAGAAATACACACACTCCATAGAAAATACAAATACTACTATTTTACATACTTGTAGTGTATTTTCCTCAGGAATCAAAAAAGCAGTTTTTCGGGTTATTTCACCTTACCTGGTAAGCTGTAACTATGATCAGACCTGACTGGTTGGTTTGAATACAAACTTAAGTCCACTGCAAAGAACTCGTAACTCCAACCCTCAGTGTTCTTCTATTAGGGTCAATGAAAAAACCTTATTTGAGAGCAAATATATGTAAGGGAGGAAGGAATTAGATGCTTTGCACACATACACACACACACAAGACACAGACACCCATATAGCTCTGAAAAGAATGCTCACAAACTGCATCGGGGAAACCCAAGTGCAAATGCGCATGCATGCTGTAAATATAATTAAAAGAATATTGCAAACTGGCCTGTGGTAAATACAAGAAAATAATCTTTCTGTACATTGAAATGCTTAGAAAAGAAAGGTTGGAAGTAGTAACAAATTACTGTCTGGATTTTGTCCCTCTGATGCAAGTTTTTACATGAAAGTTACCAATGAAACAATACTCTGTGCTCTTAAATTTTGAGAAATGTCCACAGAAGTAGGCCCAATAAATGCCTCATAAAGGTTAAGCAATCTTCAATCAGATATTGAATGACAGATAAAGCATAGAAAGAGATAAGGGTACTTTATAAGACAACATCTCCTCTGGTTACTTGCACTGGAGTGTTAGAGGCAGATTAAATTCCATAGGATGCCACACGACGCATCTGCTGCCCATTTTTTTTTTAAAGGAAAAAAAACCCCAAACTACATGTGACAATATACACCATCTGAATCAACGATGCAGCATTTAATTTAGCTAGATCATGTTGGGAAAAGCAGGTGTGTGGATGCTTATATCCATGCAGCTTTTCATGTACTAGGTATTTTCTTATATAAGCGCTACAAACAAAAGGATTTTAAGAGTAGAATAAAGGCTTTTCCCTGCCTTATCTCAATTTACAAAGAACTAACTTCTGTTTAAATCAATTAAAGCTGGACCAGACCACAGTGAAAATGCACCGTAGGAAAAGTTGCTACAATAAAAATGTCCAAGTCAGCAAGACAATCAATTCTCCCCTTCTTAATCTACATTAATAACTAGTACTCCATGTGAATCTGAAAGGCAAGTACACATACTTACATAGACTTATATGTATCTATAGCTATACCAAAAAGGATATGAATAATTCCTTCATCAACTTTGCAGGCGGAAGTCTGCAGTTGATCTTCCAGATGCACCAATTTCTCACTTATTGCTTCACATCTTTCTCCCAACTCTGCAGAAAATATGAAGAACTCCTACAGGAAGTTGAAAAAGAAATGAAAACATGTTTGCTGCTGACTGCACTTTTCTACATCAAGTTTCCATCAAATTAAGGGGAAAATAAAATATTACTAAGGGGATATGATACCTTACAGTGCTAAGAATTCACCTGAAAACAAATTCTCATTGGACACAAAAAGTTGTTACTACATAATAATTTAGTGATTTATATGAAATGTCATAAGATTGTGGTCTCAGTCTATTTCCCAGCAGAAAAAAGTCATGATCTCACTTTCAGGAGAGGATTAAAGGGGTGTGAATACTGAACAGCTCTTCCTCTTCCCCGCTGTCTCACCACAGCAGGGGAGGGAAATCTCATGCTGACTACACCATTTAGGCTCCTAAATTTCAAGTTGTTCATGTAAATATGATTTACACTTTTAGGCCATTTAAATATTTCAAGCAGCATCACTTTTGGCATCTCTTACAAAATGTACTTATTCTTTGAGGAAAATTCTGGCTAGAATATTTAGGGACTTTGCTCAACTGATCAGAGAAAACACATCAAAGTCTTTGAGATTACAAGATGAAACTACACTTCTTTATCATGAAACAAGACAAAATTTTCAAAAAACAATTATTTTCTACTTATACAGACTAACACTTTTTCTATTTTAAACTGAGCATTTTAAACCAGTTGCAAAGTCCTTCCCATAAATTTGTTTGCTTTCAGATATACTATACAAGGGTAATTTGTATCTTTTTTTTTTTTTTTTTACTATTACTTCAAGAAATGACCCAAATCAGCTGCAAATCCAAGGTGGGGGATCAACCAATTTGTGCAGCACTGAGACAAGCCTCTCCTTCCCAAGGCACCATGGTGCTGTCTACAGTGAATGATGGAGGTTATCTGTAAGGAAAAGATGATGGTGACAAGCTGAAGTTCTGCTGGAGCTATGTTGAAAAACTGGAGTCATTCATTATCAGGAATCCAGACAACTGGATTTTCTCTAGACCTAAGTCTATGCACACATCTATATAGCCAGCTGCACATGTGGCCATTTACAATCTTCAGATAGTTTTTCTCCTTTAAAAAAGTACTCGGAGTCCTTTGCATTGATCTGTTGCTATAATAGCAGCCATCAGTGGTTAAGAGAAATCAACCCTTCAATCAAAGGCTTTCCAGAGAAATCATGGTAATACTTGTTGGAACGCTGCCCGTTGTGAAACAATCTGGTTTTTGGTAAACACATTTACCAGACCTCAGTTCTGTGCTATCCTTGCACTTTCATCACACAGTGCATACACTGAGGCAAATGTCAGAAGAGCTCTACTTGCTGGCACATCCTCTGCTACAGCACAGAGCTCTGACCCTTCTGCCTTCCCAGGTCTTCTGTCAGACACGGCTACTCAGCAGATCACAGGGGGATGCAACCAGCTGCAGCTTGAACCCTGCACAAGGCAGCTGGTGGGAATTTATGCTGTCAACACCCCCAGCTTAGAGACAGAGAAGCACAACCCAAGGACCAGCTGGCTGAGTCCCTGACTGTTGCACGAGACCCGAGCAGCCATCTTCAGAGTCATCACCAAACAGCAGAATCAGCAGCGCTCCACAGAATTTACAGACATAACACCAACCCACTGTTTTAAAATGAGAATGGGAAGTAGAAGATACCCATTCTCCCTAGGGCAACTAGGAATGTCCTTTTCTCAAGACCAGGGACAGAAGATGAGGAACAAGTCTTCCATCCAGCTGCTAAATCATTATTCCATACACCAGCAGGACTCCATATGCTGTTAGAGAGTGGGACAACCCAGATGATTTATATCAATAGAAAGTTTTTAGGGAATCATTCTGTGACACACATGCAAGAACAGATGACAGTTGTCTGAAAGAACTTAGATCTCAGGTAAGAAAAGCCAGTATACTGTAAAAACCTAGTACTCTGAAAGCACATTGAAAATAATGACCATCTAGAGAAAGTTCCACCTCTGAACACTGATTTTTCTCTAACAGGTAATTACATGTAAGAAAATCAGGTCTTCACATAACTGTCATCTCAAATGTGAGAAAAACAAGATAAAAAACATTCAGTGCTATACAATCACTGAACAGTTAATTTAGGAAAAACAGCTTTTAATTAATGCACAAACTCCTAAGAATTGCTCTGACAGACAAAAGCCATAACTGAAGTTTTCAAACCAGACTCTATGGACTGTGTACTTGCACAAAATGAACAAGCCCTGTACAGATCCTGAAGAATGGATATTTTATAGTGACACATAAAAAGCAGATTCTTGCTCTTATAACATCAACATATTGAATACTTTAGTCTGACCCAGCCACTGCTTTTATCAAGAACTACTATGACATGAGATTTCAGATCACATTTATGCTGTCAAAAAGGATGACACTTCTAGACCTGATTCAAAATCATCAGTTACTATAGACAGCAAATTTTTAAGAGTATGTTACAGTAGACTCCTGAATACCTGTGCCATTAAGTATATTTAAATATAAAAAATATTCTAAAGATATACATTACAGTAGGATATCCCTTTCTTTTTTAGGGTACTGTTGATGGCAGGAACGTTTATTCAGATAATCGATCACCCCATTAGCAAGTAAGTAAAAATGGGATCAAGCTTGTTTAGGTCTTTAAATACTTGAAATCCCTCTAATAACTGTATCATTATGATTATGGTCGCACTGCAGTGTAACTGAAATATCTCCATAAGGTCAGGGTTATAGTCTATTAATCATAAACTCCTAAGAGGTATTTCGCAGCCTAATTCCTCTTTAATTCAGCAATAATATCATGTGGATAAACTATTTTTGTGCCTACATGACACAGTGGCCTTTTTAGTTGAAATGAGAAGTTCCTTCAGAGTTTAGACAAGCATCGTCTCTCATGAACTTACTTGTAAGCACCACATGAAAAATGCAGGAGGGTCATCATACAAATAATGCTTTTCCAGAACATGTATATATGGCCTTTATTATTTTGGACTGGAAAGATGTGGTCACGCAGAGAACTCTAACTTTAGTCTAACATCAAGACGACTTATAAATGAAATGGAAAAAAATATACTACTCCCAAAAATATGCAAGAATGATACTAAATATTCAATCAATTCCACAGCTTCTGTCGCCAGGTCGTCATTTGAAAAAAGTTCAATAACCCAGAGAAGTAGAGAGGAAAGTTTTCTCTCAGTGCCTTTCATGCCTAGTAATGTCACTGGTAACATTTTTATTTGGCATTTGTCTATGTAGGCAGGGAAACCACTGTCAGTAACACACAAACTATTCAGAACAGCTCCTGTCTGCAAAGTGGCACTTTACACTGATCAACAGTATCTCCGAGAGGAGAGTGGACTCTGCCTCCAGCTCAACATATTGATAAATACAACTCATCCAAGCTTGTAGCTTATGTCACTGCTACAAGCTACTGTAAGTCTTAAGACTTCTTTGTTTATTTTTGCACTAACAGCACTTTTAGGAAGCAGCTATGAGAGATGTCAGGAGTCAGGAAAGAGCTGAGATGCAATATTGCTTTATGGATTTTTCCGTGAACAGAGGATGTAGCTAGTTGGGATTTTTTTCTTCCCCCTCTAAATCCTTAAGCAGGTGAAAACAGCACAGATGTTTTTTCTAAAATGAAATTCTTCTGCCTTCTCATGCAAGCAGATATTCTCATTCTCTCGCAGAGATGTGAGAGTCTGATGCAAGAAACAGGAAGAACAGACAATGTTCCAGTTGATGCACAGCTGGTGCATCAGCATACTGAATTAAGAGCAGAGGGAATGGCTTCCACTTCAGCCTTCTGCATTTAATTTTACCTTTTTAAGAGTCATTTTAGTTATCCATGAGCAACAGCTCCTTAACAACATTACTCAAGGAAAATGTTTGATCAGCTTTTCCAGTGCAAACTCCTTCCATCCTCTCTTGGATCTAGTTCAGCAATTTTATGAAAAAGAATCAGTATTGTAGTAGCTAGATTAATCTATTAGGGATTAGAGTCTCCATTAGAGTCTTTGGTGGCCATGCTAAGAAGCAGGATTCCCACATATATCCTTAAAATTAATTCTTCCTACAGAAGAAGTTTGTAAAAAAGCATTCACTTACTTCAAACTAGCAATATCATAACCCCAATAAGATAAAAGCCTTAGAAGACCTTCTGCAGAACATTAAAGCCAGACTTCCTTCACCTGACTAAATCCTCTCTCCCCTGTAGTAGTTAAAATAATTCAAAATAACATCAATAACAACTACAAAAAGTTGCCCTTGCAGAGAGATACTCACACTATGGCACAAGGTTTAGAACGGTGACTTATTCTTGGCAGCAGTGTTGCATGCTTACCCTCACCCCTTACAGAAGTTAATGGAAATTGTGAGCACTTGAAACTCCAGAAAGCCAAGCCAGGGAATCTCTTAAATAATTTCTAGGAAAAAAATGCAGCCATCAATACGTTTGTCCTGCTTGAGCAGAAGCTTCAGTCACATGCAGGCTAAGCGCACGTGCTACATGGCCACAAAATGTCCCAAGTGCAGGTGGAGGAAGCACTTATCCCTGGTGTGCATCCCAGATTTCCTGCCCTGTATGTATTGTCCTGGGCAGGTGTCGCAGATGAGGAGGGCAAAGCGGCCACTGCGAACAGGCCTAATTTCTTAGTCTGAAAATAATGCATGTTACTCATGACCAACACCATCCTAGCATCACAGCAAGGCTGACCAGGAAGCAACCAGGGACCACCTAAGCCCACTCTGCAACTTGCAGTGAGATCAAGCCCACTGTGGCTGTCCTCAGCTGGTGCCTGTCGACACAGCTGTTAGCAGCTGACAGGGATTTTGTGGTTCTGGTTGCAGGGCAGAGCCTGCTCCAGGGCTAAACTGCCCGTGCAGTGAGCAAGTTTTCCTAATGCAAACATCTCTTGCTACAAAGCAAGATGGTTACATTTCATTTTACCCTTACATTGCACACAATGATAACTAACAGTTGTCCTCCTTATCATTATTTTTAATGTGATTGAAGACTTTGACTTTCAACCAAACCAGGATTTTTAAAGCTTTCATTTTTATTCCTTTCCTTCAGTGTGTTCCTGTCTTCTGCAGCGAGGTGCCCAGACCAGTGCCGTAGTCCTCTGGAGGCTTTGACATTCTCAGCTAAGCACAGTAATTATTTCTGTCTTAGAACTGACATTCCCATTAATGAGGCTGCAAATGACATCTGCCCTTTCTTGCACCAGGATGAAGGTAATGAATCCCTCTCTATTTGTAGTCCACTATAACCCTAGATTCTGCCTCTGCAGTATTGCCATCTTAGCTGCTATTTACTATCTGTATACATAAATCTGAGTTTTCTTCCTCAAATGTAATTTGCACCTGTCTTTTAACATATCCCATCTTATTGATTTCAGGCTATTTTTTCAACCTATCAAGAGCATTTGGCATTCTAATCCTAATTGAAATTATGTTGACTAGCACATAAACTCCTAGCCTACCCCCTTTTTAAAGGTAAATACCATGTCTGCCTTTTACTGATCCCCAGGGACTTCAAGCTTCCTCTAGGAGTTTTCAAAGAAGCTAGTTAATGGTTTGGAGATTGTTTTTCTTGGCTCCTATGCACTCAGAAGAAATTTCATCAGTGTAGCCTGACTGGAGTACATCTCACTTGCCTCAGGAGCCTTTACTGTGTTCATCTCTTGCTACCTCGTAGTGAATACTAAGAGCACTACATATACAGACACACTTTTATCATTTTTAGAAAGACTAAAAGTAAAGAAAATAAGGAAAAAAAATATTTCTGCCCTCTGCTCTCATTCATTTTTTCATATTATCAGACACATACACTTTCTTTCTCCTGTCCCTTACATACAGCTCATCCCTGAACTCCCCTGCCACTTGGCATGAGTTTTGCTTTCAGTAGTGTGTTCAGTGGTCTTGCCAGTTTTCTCTTACACTGTGCAGTGTACTCTTTCAGGTTCATCCTTAGGAACATTTTTGTCCTTTCCTTTTCAAAATTCTTTTGGGCCATTCATGAGTCACTGACATAGATATGTAGTCTGTTACTGTGTTTGCTCTTTTCTGCACCAAAAGATGGTGCCATACTATAAACATGATGTCTTCTGGAGGGTACCAAAGATTATCTGCCAATTCCTCCCCCTACAGAGCTTGTCCCGCAGAAACTCACCTGCTACTTCCCTGATTTTGTTTAGGCGAGTCTTTTCTTTTATGGAGGTGGTTATCTGCCTTTTCTCAGAAGACGAATCACAGTTGTTTCCCCAATTATTTTTGCCCTTATCACCCTCCACTTACCAGCTGCTAGCTTGTTCCCCCAGCCTGTTCATGTATATTTAGGAGACTGCAGCACTACACCACACTCCTGAGTTTCTCAGAGTTTCTTACAGGCAACAATTCAGCCATAAAGCTGCCCAGACAGCTGTTTCTCAACTGTGACCTACCGCCTCCCCACCATCCCAGGCTTTTCCCACATTCCCTTTGGTTGCACCGATCCCCTTCCCTCCTCCGCAGGGGTACAACACCACATGGGCGTGTTCAATGACTCATCAAAATACAGCCTGATGTTGGCAATTCTTCCCCTCGTGTATCTTCCACTACAGCTACAGAGGAGTGTCCTTGGAAAAGCATCTCTGCAGAAATTGAGCTTTCCACTGCCTTCCAGCACCCTTCTGCGGTCTGTAGGACGGCGGTCTCCCTGTTCTCTCTAGTAGACTGAAGATCTTTCCCGAGTGCAGACTTCCTAAAATGAGTGCACACTACTGCACTGGCTCATTTAATTAAACTGGGACAGTTCCAGTTCCTGCTGTGGGAGGATGAAGCTATTTACCAGCTTACCAATAAAAATTCACAGTGGGCCAGGACTTGGAAAAGAAACAAAAGCACTAAACTGTTTTCTAGTGTCCACACCCTGCTGTGCTAGGAGTCAGCATAGCTGGGTATCATTTATAGGTGGTTCCTAGTATTGTTCACTCCCATCTCTGCTCCTCACTCACTAAAATGCAACAATCTGGAATGACTAACGGGGTGCCCTCCTGCAGGCAGTAAGGAGAATGACAAGAGTGGATTAGGGGACCGGAGCATCAGAGGAACATTTAGGCAGAGCCTTGACACAGTACAGGGTGCTGACAGTTTCATAGACCTTTTATAGAGCTATCTACAAGTCAACATCAATCCATCTGTGGCAGTGTGGTAGGGCCTGGCTTTCTAGCCAATTTCCATTTCCTTTATTTGTATCGTTGCTCTCTGTTCTCTTTATGCACTTTTTTTCCTCAAAGCTTCAAAAGGGCAAAAATCAGCTGCTTGTGAGGGCTCAAAGATATTAAGCTTTCCTACAGCAGCAGCCCTCTATTGCTGTAAGCTCTGATACATTTGCAAACCCAGCACACACATCACACTCACATGCTCTGGGCACATCTCCTATTAAGCAAAAGAACAAGTTCTTCAGTCAAGAGCTAGGCTGTACTACGGGTTTCAGTGCAGGTCGCTACTGTACACAAGCATGCAGTCGTACTCTCATTTGCTATGGTCCCGACCATCCACAATTTCTAGTTTCCAGCAAATATTCTGCTGGCTTAGCAGCTATCACTACCAACATGCCCTCAGTATTCTGCCCTGCTGGCAGTAGGGCTTCTTGCTACCTTCATCCCCTGGGACTACCTGCCCCTATTTAATGCCATCTGTGGACACAAGTACCTGCAGAATTTTGCTTTAATTCACAGACAAGTTCACTGGCAAGGAAGGCTGCTTGCATTTTCTGCAAAGTTCACCTTCACTCTCAAGACTTCCTGTTTTTATTTATGCTGAACTCACACTCAGCCAAGCAGCCCATCCCAGGCATGCTCTCATGTCACAGTCTCCTCGTACACAAGGTCAACAGTCTGAGTTTGGTCTTGCAGTTTGATTATCCTTCCTGGAGCATTCCAGCTGCTCCACAGTCTTTGGATTCATTGGTGGGAATCCAAAGAAATGCCTCATCTGAAAAGTTATCCCAAATGGCAACTTTTATTTATTTGATATTTGCTTGGCAGAGAACTTGATACTAAATTTCCTTAAAATGTAATTGCAACCCAAGGCATACCAATATAAAAATGGATCAGACTGAATCAGTACAAGCTCTTAGAACCGGTACAACTCTCCTTACACATATATTGCCTAAAGTCTTAGTTTGTATGCAGACAGATTTTTGTATGTAAGCATATTTTTCTCATCACTTACTCTCATAGGAAATGTATTTCATGTTACTCAATTATCCTAGACTTTCTTAAATATATAGACTAGGAACTGATGTATTTTTATTTATGAAAATAGTGTAAAATGACAAGCATCCAGTATTTTTATTCAGATGAAATTCTTATTACCCTGTATTCTGCTGAAATATGCTTTTATACTTCAAAAGTAAATTCAAAGGTATTGTTAGTGATTTTTTTCCATTCCTAAGCATCATTACAGTGCTACAGTGAGTCTGGCTAAACATTATTGGTCTTACTTTTCCCCAAGATATTCATCCTGTTGTTGGTATGTATTAAAAGCACTAGCACAGGATTTAACTATAAACTTCCTGAAATACACAGCAATTTTGCCATTATCTTCAATGGAAAAAAAAGAATGGGTCCACTCTAGTTGTGCCTGTGTTGCTTTTTTCTAAGTGCTCACACACTCTCTAGCAATTTTTACCCAAAGGTAATACTATAAAAACAAGTGTCATTAGTTCTAATTGAGATCCAGAAAAGTCTGTACAATATCATCACTTTATACTGCCTGGAAAACACTTACCTCAGATAAATGACCCTCTGCTCCAAATGAAATGTCTTCCATAACCTGATAGAGATAAATTATTAGGTATGCAGTAGATACATGCTAAATAAACAGTAAGATTTCAACTGAACTTATAAAACCCATATAGCACATTAAAAACTTATATAAGCTGAACAATTACATCATTTTGCTTCACACACATGAAACATTTCAATTGCATTTATAACGGAGCAGTGTCAGTCACACAATATTTAAAGCTAAATTTGAATACATTTATTAAAGCCTGCCTTTGCCTTCCCAGTTAAAACCCACAAGGAATACTGCCTCTAAAACTGAAGAACTACAGATTGAAACAAACTTTTCTATCAGGCTCTTACAGATCTATAAACCATTCAAGAGTCTACATAATTTTTTTTGGCTCAAACCCTATAAGTGATTTAGGCAGGAGAAACGAGAGACCCCACTGACATTTTGTACTGGTAACGCATGCTAACTATACTCAGATCCTCTTCAAAACTTGCTTCATCTGTAAAGTCTCTAAGAAATTAGCCAACATTTCAGTGACTGGCTAGGGAGAAAAGAAATTTGACATTGACATTATTGGAAAATCATTAATACTTATCATGCATAACAGTATTGATAATCCTTAAATAAACTGAGATAGGGATATTGCTTTGGTAGGGTAATACTTAGTATCACAGGTATGTACATATATATATATACACACACACAAAATAAAGTGCAAAATCATTACTCTGCCAAGAAATCATTATTACTGGACACTATTTTCAGTAATCTATCTGAAAAGAGGTTGCTTAGATTTCTTTTACCTGTAATATTAATTTTCTGATGGTATTTTTACTGTAAAATATACATAAGCTTTAAGCTTACTGAGATGCTATAATCTCTGGCTAAAGAGTTTGCATTTTCACTAGCAGATACTACACACCAGAATCACACACTGCTAAGGGGCACTATATTGCACAACGTGTGTGACTGTACAATGATGATCTGACCGTTGTGTACAAGCCAGCTGCCTGTTGCTATAGAAATCCTTCCCAGCTTGCATTAATATAAAAAACACTCAAACGCTTTCACTAGTGCTTAATGCTCACATTTAAAACAAAGATTAAAGTCTCCAAATTATTTTTAAATCTCTACAAATAATTTAATTAAAACTCAGGTGAAGGCACAGTGTATTTAGCTTTCTAGAGGCTTTGTCCTTTACACGTTGCACATTTGCCTCCTGGACCACAGGCTATCTCAGTGCACGGTAATGAGTTACAGCTTGCTGACAGAGGCGTTCTTGGTGCTTGCTACCACTAAACTCTGAAAAATGTTGTGTCATATCCTGTGATGACTTCTTTTTAATGACAGCACATTAAATATTAATTATTATTTTTTCATTATTGTCCACTTAGTATAGCTTAGAATATTCAGTATCTTTTGAAAAGTGAATCAAATGAAGGCTTTGCAATTACAGGACATCCTCCCAGGTGCTCTACAGAAGACCCCAAAACATCTTCCCAGATGGCAAAACTGAAGTATGCAGAGGTGAGGAAAAGACAGCAGCCCTTACTCCAACCCTTGCTCTCTACTTCTTTCATGGTGAAAAGTCAGAAACAACCAACAAAGAATTCTGATGGGATAACTACCAAAAATGCTGACTTACAAAAGGTAACACTACTGAATTTTGGTTTTTACCTCGTAAGTTTAATCACCTCAATTTTCTTGAAATCTAGTAGGTGTTTCTTTCTTTCATAGTGATTAAGAGGGAGCACTGCACAGCATGCCAGATAGCAGAAGAAGAAAAAAGGATAGGTCAGGAACTCAAGACTGCAGGTGCACACATACTCGCATTCATCAAGATACTTGGTGTTAGGGAGGTCCCAGCACACACACATCTCTCTGGTTATTAGTTATCATTGGTGTTTCTGGTGTTATAAAAAGGTTTTTTTTTACAGATACATTATCAACAAACAAAAAATAAAGCATAATTTCATAAGGAGTGGAACAAGCAGGCATTAATATCTGAAGAGAGATAAAATGTTACTATATACTTTAGAAATCACCCAGATATGATCTAACTATGTATTAATGATCACAGTAACTTTCACCTCACTCACACATCACCTGGACAAAATAACTTGTAGTCAGTTTGAAAGTATGGAACATTTCTGGGAGGAAAACTAGAACACATCTTTAATTCATCAGATACTTGGGAAAAAAGCAGAAGACAAACTAGAACTGCACTGACAGTACACCTTAAATTCAGCAAGACAGCAACCAGTTAGAGAGTACATGGTTATATGAAAATTCAAGAATCTATCTCAAATACAAGCTGATTTTGACATGATTGAGGCTAGTAGTACTGTCTAGAACTTTGCTTCAGCATTTTTAAAAAAAATGCTATAATGAGTTAGCTATAGCTGAGAGGAGTACATCTTAATTTTTAAGTAACTCCAAGTGTTCCACAAGATGATTTTTGCTGCCCTCAATTTATTTAATTTTGAACAAAAAATTTGTAATGATATGACAAAATGCTGAGCTGCCAAAGCACAGGATTGTCTTCACTGGTTAACAGTCAATATTATAAAGGAAACCTGATTTACCAGATTATTTTGGGATGCCACAGCCTACCACATAAACAAACTGCGAAAAAAAAATCTGTACTCTCTTAGAAAACACAGTTATGAGGACCATAAAGTAACTCTTGACAGTTAATAAACCTGTGCTCACACATGACAGTAGTATATCTGAACTTTCAAAGAATTTATACCTTAACATATTTTATACCAGAACTTGTCATATTTTATGATCTAGTGAGGATATTTAATTAAAAATTAATAACAGCCCCTCTGCAAAGCAGTATCTGAGGATCTAAATGAAGGGTTCTTTCTACTCATCTATTTTCCTTTTCTTGTTATTGTTACATTTCTTATTTGTTTCTTTCCTTTCTAATGAAACTTATACAGTAAGATACAGTTATATGCAAGAAAATACAGTCCACAGTAATACTCAGCCAGATACGACATGATAAATAACTGGCAAGCTTCATTTAGAGCATTTCACTGCAAAGTAAATCGATCACCTGGGAATGAAGTGTAACTTCCAAGGCATATATGCACGTACGCTATTACCCTTTGCGATACTGTTTTGAAGCATGTAATTCAGTAACCTCCGAACAGAAAGAACAACACTCTTTAAGTGACCAACAGTGCTCTCTAGAAATTCCCCAATGGGAAACAGAGGTGACGCAGTTGAAGAGGATAGTCATTCTAGAGACATGGCAACCACATTAAGCTACTCCTCTCACAAGGACGCCACAGCTTTGCTAAATAATATCAAACCAATTATTTTGACAAATACATGCTTTTCTATTAGGTATCCCCACTTGCTGATAAGTGGCTACAAAAAGGTTCACTGCTAATGGACAACAAAGTTTTTCCATTAAAGTTTTTTTGGGGTTTTTTTGGCCACAAACATTAAATTATTTTTAAATAAAAAAATTCAATACCATACAGCAGAGCACTTAAATGCTACAGGAGTGGTTTATCTTTCAACTAAGTCCATTTACAAATCAACACATATTCTCTCTTGCACTTTAACATGTTCAGAACTACAAGTTAGCATGACTAGTAAGTAATATGTCAGGTTTTTTGTTTGTTTTTATATTCTGCTTTGTGATAAGCTACTAGATGTTAGGGAATGCCATGTTTAGCTACTGCCTCTCACTCCTACTGAGATCCTACCAGTTTAACTACCTAAAGTGTACTTGTTTGGGTAGAACTTCTATACCCCACAACAAGGAAAAAATCCTGGCTCCTAAAAGTGTAAAAGCAAGTGGACCAACTCTAATTCCAGAACTGGAAACAGCCTATATGTTAGGGATTGGGGTTGCAATGGGTTGCAGTCATAACTGATTTATAACTTTGCCCCGGTGGTCAAAGCTGCAGGCAGCACTGAAGCAGAGGAAGGCTAGCTGAATGAGCTGTGATAAAACACGGCTGTGTCACTCAACTCCTTCTAAAAGTTGGAAAACAAATGCACGTTCTTATATTAACAAACTGCCTTTTTTTTTTTTTTCTTTCAGGTTTGTCATTCCTAGGAGCGCTGTGGGAATAGATGTAGGTATACCTCCACAGGTCCTTCATTGATGGGCATTTTCACATTTATGTTTACACATCAGCTTCTGAGTGGATTTGGCACGTTCTCAAAACGGAGTTTATTCAGGATACCAGGACAGGCCAGACCACAGGAAACGGCAATTATACCAAGAAGTTTAAGCACCTAGATGAAGAGCTGAAGTTAGGGGGATAGTCTCTTCAAATTCCCTCTATTGTTGACAGAGAGGAAATCAACAAAAAGCAAGTTCAAAAGGAGGAGCTTAATGGAAGCACTGCAAGTATGCATTCCTCTTCCATTTAACATATGGGCTACCTGTCCCTCTGAGCCTGGCAGAACCACAAGTCATCTCACTTCAGTTGCCAAGATGCCATCCTAGGACAGCAATGCTGATTTCCAGGTAAACGATCTGGACTTGCAGGGGTGAAATAGGTGATCCTCTACAGCAAAAATCTCAAGAGTGCTACAGAAACAGTCACAAACCCCCAAACCCTCCAGAGCTTCTCAGCTGCACTTTCAAAAGGAGAGTGCAGCTTTCCATAACCAACAGAACTCCTGTTACTTCAGTGGACTCACCAGGAATATGATAAGAGAGGAAAAAAAACCAAAGGCAGGGAGACACACGACACAAAGCCACAGCTGACCATTTCCAATAAACCCGCTCTCTATGTGGAATCAGTTTGTAAACAGTTTTCCCTAGGAAAAGGCTGCAAGTACTACTGAAGCCCAACCTAAAACCAGACTTTTAGTAACAAGAGGAGATTTTACACTAAGGCCTTCTTTCCATTAAGCCTCAGCCAGTATAAACGCAAAATTAGGCATCAGCTTTCAATGTAACACACAGTTCAATGGCTCTTAAAATCAGGTGCAACTAAGCACACTTTTAATTTTTGTCAACCAAATTCCAAGGTAATAAAACTGACCACTCCTGTTGGATGGTCCTTTTGTTACAGTAGTGCTGTTGGGCAATGAAGCTTTTGAATAGTTTGTTTCCCTTCGCAGCACCGTTAGAAGATTATCAGGTAGCTGTATGTTTTTCAAGCAAGGATGGCATTCCAGAGCAGAACATGAAAACTTAAAAAAAAAAATTTGTCAAACCTTGTAAGCCTTATTTTTTTAGCTCCTTTTAATATTTGTTGGATGCTGGAAGTCTACGAGCATCTGAGCTAGGAAGCCTTTGACCATTTCACCAAGGAAGGAAAACTTACTCTCTCCCCACTTCAGCTAACACAGATCCAGGCTAACAAGTCAGCAGAACTCACTCAGAGTGAAACTCGTCAATGAGATGAGGAACAGCTGATAATTTGTCTTAAACACTTAATAGTTTTTTCTTTAAATCCTGATGTACATTCTGTATTCATTGCCTGAATAATTTCCCTTTTTTAAAAGACTGAAAGGAAAAAGGGCTGAAGGGGTTCTGAGAAGCTAATAAGCTATTTTATTCATGTCCTAGACTGAAGGCCAGATGTTAAGTTCATACTTCACCTGCCCTGCTGACCCACCAACTCAGATTCAACTCCTCCTCTTCAAAAAGATAACCAGCATTATTGCTTGAAATGCAGCTGTAGAATATTTCAGATACCTCTTTTAGCTCTCTGTGTTTGGGGCAGGAAACAGTGTCCCACTCTGTGCCCTTTGGAAAGTGACCTTGTTTTCTTTTTTCAGAATCGGATGGGCCATCAGCAGTCATCTCCATCTCATCCATTTGGTTCTCCTCTTCCTCAAAACCACAGCAACTGGTTTCTTTCAGTTGAAACCCTCGGATCAACAGCTGACAGGCCTCCAAGTCAGCTTCCCACACTCTTTGGAGCAGCTGGCTTCCGCAGCTGAAATAAAAGCCAAAAGAAAATAAAACTGCAGCTCAGGGAGAATAGTTGCTATTTCAAGTAACTTTTGCAGTGACTGCTTATTATTAGATACGAAAATAAAAACAACAAGAAACAACAGCAACTCAACTGCTTCCACAGGGATAACACAAGCTATTTCAAACTGAGAAGCAGTAAAATTATGGCCCTATTACAAAGCTGATGCCATAAAAAAACCTCTGTGCTAAGATGTTGCTTCCAACTGTACAGTGTACACTGGCTGCATGTGACCTTCTCCTGATCGGACGCAAGTCCAGGGGTCTTGCAATCATAACCAGAACTTCCTTCAGATACACAGGCCTGTCATCCTAAAAGCAGTCCTGTGGTTTTCCTGAATTTGATGTAGAAGATCATGCACAAGCAATTGCGCTATTTACTGCATTAAATCAGCTCTAACTTTCGGAAAACAGGTACACTAAGCTTCTTGTTAGACTGAAATGTGCTTGCTTCAAATCTGGTGAATCAAATTGGCTTAAACTATAATACTCTTCCTTTCCTTCAGTCTTATACTTTTGGCTGTTGTCGTTATCTCTCACTAATGTGCTTTGCTTTTTTCCCTTTATTATCCCAACAAAGAAAAAACAAAAATAGTAGGAAATTCAAAGTACCAGACTTCTTCATACTTTCAGTCCATTTAATCATCTCCCAGAGATGTCCATGTACATTATATATACTGCTCCTGAAATCCATCCAATGCACATTTTCACCTGAAGTAAATGGCAATTCTAGGCACAGATTGTTTTTCAGAACAAGACACCAAATACTAACATCAAATTGCTCGTAAGAGATGTGGTCACATCTCCATTTAATACATTTCATCTCTAAGGAACCAAAAGATTAGGTTGACTGCTAAACTACAGCAGATCAGTGGCAGAGCCTGGGTTGGGACTCAGAAGCGCCGATTCCCATGGCAATACACATTTCCAGACAGATTTGAATGCTAATACCCAATAACTGCAAGATTTTATTCACAGTGCTTTTCAAATTATATCATTTGCTATATAATAGCAAGCAATTATAAGTGACTAAAAGAAGGAAAATAACTATTTGATTTTAACTTTTCTGACTAAATTAAATACCAGCTTATCTTTTATTCTAAATGAAGGATAAAGGAGCTGCACTGCTCACAATGAATTCATTAGTCTAGCAAAGGTATGCTTTTAACTCTACAAGATGCCAAGCTTTAAAATTCACAGAGCAATATTTTGAGACTGAGAGCAAAATTAAGCTCCAGAAGCTGAGCTACTTGATCTGTGCTTAGGGTCATTATATATCTTTATTGAAGGCAGAATGCAGTAAGAGGTCCACAAATTGGTTTCCCCCAAGGAGTTCAAAGTATCACTAATTAGAAAGGGGGAAAAACTCACTGGATTACACTTCTGTGTTCCGTCCAGGTAGCATCTCACCAAGCCAGAAAAAGAAAATAACCCCCACTGTTTCTCTACTTGTCCATTACATCATCGTGATTACACAGTCAAAACATTTCCCTGCAGACATACATAAGTCCATTTACTTGCTTTTTGAAAAAGTTTGTTTGCAGCTATATATGGCTTATTATTAAAGATTCAGAAAATACACCAGAGGTCTAAATCATAATTTCCAGTGGATAGCTTGTTTTGGCTATTCAATTTAATGAAGAGTTCTATTGACAAAACTAGGGCAGAGATAGTGATGTATGTAGTATTCACAGCAGAGAAGATGAATAGCATATATAAAAGTACAGCACAACAGTACCCAGGCTGCTGTTATTCAGCCATGACTCAGTTCATCAGTCAACATGCTTCTGATTGCATCTAAGTTTTACAACCCATTTTAGTAATCAGCAATTACTGAACATACCGCTAATAGCTTGCTTTTATTTTAAGGACACCTTTGTTTTACCACTGTATCTGTGAAACTCCGATACATCTCGACCTAAGATGCTAAGATGTTATGCTGAACGTTTCAACTGAAATCAGTGAACACACACACACACTTGGATATTCTGAACATACCTAAGCCCCAGCACTCTGCATCTTTTAGTCTGTATTTTGAAATTCAGGGCTTAGAAGCATTTTTCAAACACACTTTTTTAAAGAAAATTATTTGAAACCTGCAAACAGCTGACACAGAAACACATAGCAAACAATTATTAACAATTACTTTGTCTCCAGCATGCAAAAATCTTTAGCTTTTACATCAGATGTAAAATAAATCTCATCTGAATTTCAGAAATTCAATCCACACTAAATGTGCACTTGCAGTCTCCATGAAGCCAAAAGTATGTGGACGCCTGTACTGAACACAGTGAGTTCTTTCAGGTATGCAACTTCTCAAAATGATGGATTGAGACTGGATCGGATTTTATATTATTCCTTTACTTATAAATATTTGATGATGTATCAACCTCTAGGTTTTATACGCCTGCCTGTACATTACTATCAAACAATTTGCCAGAATCCACAACAAACCAAAATCCATCAACCATTTACACAGACCCAGCAACAAAAAGGGATACCTTAATCGCCTGACTGTGAGCTTCGAAGTGCCAGAGTGCTCATGAGTCCACAGTACCAGGCTTTATCCAAACACCAAACAGACTACAATGATGTCCCTTTTCTCAGAAAGACTTTTCAGTTTAAAACAAGCAACAAGACCTGGGATACAGACCACAATGTTCAAAGAAACCCCGAGACAACAGTGGACTGAACATGGCATGTCAGTTACAGTACAGCAGTTTAATTAGTTACATCAGTAACTAATTAATCTAATCACCGTCAAGCACACCGAGGTATCACAGTGAATGAGAATTTTAAGGACTTGCAGGATGCCAATGAAACAGGTCAGTGGACATCTATTATCTCCATCCTGCCATAAACCAATCATGTAAGAAAGGCAAAAGATGCTAGTATAAAAACATAGTGGGCAAGTGATTGATACCAATGCTGTTTAACATTCCTAGATGGAAATCAGTTTTTTGCTATTAAAAAAAAAAAAGGACTAAGTATGTGGTAAAAGATTGTGAGCAGAATTTACACTGAAGGTTAGTAGTTAGGTTTGATATGACAGGACAGAGGGAACTAATGGAGAAAAGCAGACAAAGTGAAATGATGAGAAACACAGAATAAAAAAAAAGAGAGAGAGAAAGAACAGTCATTGCAGTGGCAACAGCACTTTGAACGGATGAGAGTCATGGCCAGGGAAATGGATGTTTAAGTAACTGAGATGCAAGACTCAACTTGAGCAATTTCTTAGTTGGATGGGTAGCCAGGACAGGTCTTATCTCAAGGATAATATGCAAAAAGAATCTACACGAGCAGGTGTAAGTTGACTTGAAGAATGGCTCAGACATCCACAGCAACACAAAAGGACGCAGCAGGGAGAATTCTGGATTAGGTCAAGCTGATGATGATGAAAAATCTGTCAGAAGAATAAAGCTGCTTATGGACAGGAGGAAACAAATGTGGAACAGAGAGGTTTATCCTTGAGTTCTCTTCATAAAGTGGCTATTGAAATTGTAATTGCAGCTGCCTTCACCGAGTCTCAAGTAGTTTTCTGGGAAACAAGACCAGAGAGCACAAGGAAACCAGAGAATATCTTCAATCTACACATAACATCAGGTAAAATAGATGCTGAGAGTCATATCCAGCAAGGATTCTCTCTCTCTTCTTTGAAGTCCAAAGAACATTACTCCTCTGTCTTTTCCCAAGATTCCCAGAGATATCAATGGGGGCTCTCTATGTGGCACTCAGCACAACATTATTCTGAAGCTATTTATAGTGCTAACTGGAACTACGAGAACACAGCTTTCCTACTGAGGGCTCTGCATACATACAAAAGGCACATTCAGTTCCTGAACATTACAGCCTAAATGAAAACACGCCTGTGTAAAAATAGCCAAAAGATTTTATATTAAGCCCTATTTAAAAACAAAACAAAGTCCCCCAAAATCTCATCAAAAGCAAATCGGAATCACAGGGAATTGTCATTACTTGTAAATCTCCTCGTCTCTAGTTTTTAGGAATGCCCCTTGGTGAGTGAATTGTTAAAAGTGGTTTATAACACCCTGAGGCCAACACTGTGTTGACAGATGTTGCTTATTTTAAAGGAAATCCCTGTATGAAGCCACATCTTGAAAGCCAAGAGTGAAACTGAAGCTAAAAGGCCACATAGTAAGACAACTATTTAGAAACTGCATAAACAAAGGCTAACTTATGAGGGGAGCTTAACCATCACTAAGAAAAAATACTTTAGACAAGTTCCTTCTAATAGGTGAACCACACTAAGGTGCAGATTCAGGAAAGCATGTATTTACCATTTCCCAGTACCTGGCACACGTGTTAACACTTCATTCCCTGACCCTAAAGTCAGTCTACTCTGACAAGAAAGCAAACAAAATGCAACAAAAATAGTCTGGCAGAAACAACAAGGACTCTCATTACAACAATTAAAATGACTGGAAAGTTTTGAGGCTTGCAGAAAATGGCCATGCAAATCAAGACTTTGCTCTATATACCCATTCCTTGTTGCCCTATTGTATAAACTAGGGAAAGTTTATATTTTAGTCACTCACTTCTATTTATATTTTGCACCACAGGGAAGGAACTAGCTCTTCTTACTCTATGTTTAGTTACATCTTCATTGCCTTTTCTTACGGCAACAGCCATGCAGTGAACAAAGGAGTCAAGTAAAAGAAAGTATGGAGTAATAATACTTAGAGGAAGGCAGACAACCATATTGCTTTACTGTTAGCAGAAATCCACTTTTTGCTTCTCTCCTTCATAAAGAAAGGCTTCCAGCCTGGTCAGTTCTTGTTCTTTAACCTTAGCTGTTACATTTTAAGATGCCTACAACCAATCTGTTGAACAAACCAAGGACAATGTTCCTATCAGTGGGTAGCATAAGGCTCTAAGGAAAGGAAAGCATCCAACCCTGTTCTCCCCATCTGGGTGGTGCGCAGACTGAAAGGGAGAAGGTACAGC